AAATGATCAGAGCGAACGAGGGGGGGGGAGAGAGAGAGAGAGAAAGAGAGCTGGGCCGTCTACCCCGAATACAAGGTCAACTATTCATGGGGGAAGGGTCCACTTCGAACAAAGGGTCGGGGGCATGCTCTTCTGAGTCAGCAAGGCGCGCCTAGCCGGGCTTTGCTTGTGGGCGAAGTCGACGGAATCGCAGGCGAGTTTTGCGGGACCATGCCTCTTTCTTCGTTGGTTGAACTCGTGATGCGTGCCAACGTCCCGGAAAAATATCTTCAGAGTGCCAAACTAGCAATATTTTGGGCTTGAATCGGGGATTAAAGGGGATTTTGAATTGTAAAAAATGTCAAAAGATCACGCGTGATCGCGGAGAAACCGCCAACCGTCTCTCGGTGTGTCTGAATAGGCTGATTGATTGATTGATTGAGTTTTATTGGCGCAAAAGCATTTAAGGCTATAGAGCGTCAAAGTCTGTGACTATTTCATAAATGGTTTCTAGAGAGGAAAGAGGGCTCTAGTGGCCAGTGATAGAATAAAAGGATGTGCATGAATCTGTATATAAATAATGTGGATGAAAATTTTAAAAATTGCAAAGCAAGTTTAAAGTCGACGTAAATGTCCAGTGCTTTCTAGTGTGTCTGAATAGGGTCGCTTGCGAACCGCATGCGCAAGCTCAACCGCCAGTGGGAATACGCCATAAGAGCTTCGCACTAAAATACAGTAGTATCGATTACAAGTTTTCGTCCCGGTTTTGTGGAAAAAGTTCGACCAAAGCTCACAAACCTTGTCGTTTGAAAGTACAAAACATGACTAATTGTTAAATTAATAAAAAAAAATACGAGCAACGCGGGTATCTCTTTAATTAGTAGAATACCTGAACTAAATATATATACGGTGACAAGGTTCAAAGGGCCGGTTGGACGTAAAACGAAAGTTGAGGAGTTCCCGGAAAGGCCTTTACTGCATTAACGTTTCAAGCGGGGACCGCTTTTCTTCAGAGCGGGATGGTGTGCGAAATGTCATCTTCTTCTTGTTGATGTTCGTGTGGAAGAGGAAGAGTGACTATGAAGGGTATTAAAAATATTCGGAACAGGAGCAACAAAAATGTCGTAAATCTTTAAAATTAGTGATTATAAACAATGTTAATCCCAATCATTAAAACTAAATAAATTGATTTGTACTATTTGCCACAGTCTTTGTTACAGCTCTTATGCACAATCACCCCCGTATGTATATATATATATATATATCAGGGATGGGCAGTATTTCAAATACGTTGTGTATTTTGCATTTGTATTTAATTACAAATTGGGTAATGTATTTCACGTGTGTATTTAAATACTTAAACGTGAGTATTTCAAATACAATTGTAATTAAATGCAATTTTGTGGGCGAAAATACATCCCTCAAATTTATTGTCACTGTCCAGAGCAGGAAGAAAACTACGTTCTGCACCGAAAGCAGTGTCTCTCAGTCAAGCACAAGCGTTTAGTGACTTTGTGACTACGGTGCTAGTTCAAGGCAAGAATAATGACAAAGTCGACGTTCACAGGCATACGGGCTAAATAAGTGCCTGTGACAACTTATGCTTTCCAGCCTGATTCCTATCCTTATTTTTGCCTGGAACATTCGAAATGCGCGGGTCGTCCAGATTTTCGTAGCTGGTGCGAGTTGCAACAATAAAAAATTCTCTAGCTAGTGCTGCGTGTCTTGGTCGTCTCGGTTCTTTGTTGGTCTATACCAAAATGTAATCGATAAAAAAGCTGCTTGAAGCTTTGTACTTGTTTCACATATTACGTGCAAGCTGATTACATTTTTTGTGATTATATTTCTATTACGTTACTAGAGCCTCGCACACTAACTCCCGAGTGTACAATGCAAAATTAAAATGAGATATCCAGAAACCCGTTGCAGGTGCCCTGAAGTCGCTGACGCAAATTTGGAGGAATGTATTTGGAAAAGTATTTGGAGGAGACCAAATACATTTGATTGTATTTGTATTTTGCACTTAAATTGTTTTTGGAAATGTAATTAGATCTGTAATTAAATACATTTTTGACGAAGCATTTTGTATTTGTATTTCGATACATATTTGCATGCATTTTGCCCATCCCTGATATATATTCATAAAGCACACGGAATTAATAGATAATCTCGGTTGTGGCATTGGGCGAAAATTCCGGCGTGAAAGGTAAGCTTTTAGCACAGGAACTTTCAAAGAAACAAAATTATGGAACATGTTTTTCATGAATTAACCCAAGAGTATGGTGGAGAACTATCCCTATAAATTTCAAGAAAATCGAAGATTTTTTTGTTGTATTTATTCCCCCTTAAAATTTATTTACTTTGTAATTTAGAACAGGTTTGAAGCAACATAAAAAATAAAAAAATTTGAGATAAAGCAATGATTTATATAGAATTCGAAAGAACGAATTAATAACAATATATGACAAATTTTGATGTCGCTACTCAATTTTGTAGGCAATGGCTCCGAAATCTGGTGAAAAAGCTTCAAAGAAGCCATGTTTGCGCATTTTTTAAGCAAAACATATGACCTTCACAATGATACACATATATCATTCGATAGATCCCATGATCTATTATAAGTGCAAAATATTTTAGATTTCTGATATTTGTAATTTGCGTAGTAGGTGTCACCAAACATGACGTAAACAAAAACTTCAAAAATCGAATATGCCGTTCTGCCGCACTCAACTAATTTTCTTTCTTTTTTTTTCTTTGAATATTGCGGGTTTTTTTTAAATATTTTTAATTACTCTCCCTGCAAATATTGAGGAGTAACATAAAAAATTAACAAAAACAAAAAATACGTCCGGACTCACGTGCATGATCTTATCTGAACAGGGACTAGATTTTTGTCCCTGCACCTCTGCTTCCTGGAGAGGAAATAAATAATTTGTATATAACTATATAAATTCGTATGGCAGTAGAGTTAGACAGTTTGTTTTAAGAATTTTAAGAAAAGGTAAATTTGAAACTTTCCTAAACCTCGCTGACATGCTTTGCACAACTCATTACATCAAGCTTGTCTGATACATGGACGACATATTCCTCAATCGCGCACTAACCTTCGACGTCAAATACATAATATGCACTGCGTGAACAAGAAAATCATTTTGCATCCCTAGAAATTGGTGTCACCTCCCCGAACAAAGCTGCCATACTTTACATTGTAAAAACGCGTACATCGACTGCATATCTGACGTGGTTTTGTGCTATTCTTAATATTATCTTGTTTTAGTTTTGTGTTGTGTTGTTGTTTCCCTTGTATAGAGGTACCCTGGGCTTGTCAAGTTGCATAATAGTAGCTTTTTTTTCTGTACACCCATCGCTCATTAATTAAAATAAATAATGTTTCGACGTTTCAATTTTCAATGTTTCATTAACTGTTTGCATTAGTTATTAATTGCGATAATTGCTTCTCTGTGGCACATGTTGGATGAACGTGATTAGAGTTTAAATACAAGATCACTGCACTTGTGTGCTATTCCTCTCACTTCTTTTTTCGGTCAAGGGTCTATAGCATTCAGCCCAAAAAGTACCCACAAACTATCATTTGTTTTGTGTTTTGTGTTGTTTTTGTGTTTGTCGGCTAACTTTTTTAAAACATATTTTTTAAACCCAAAATTAAACCAACTTTCAAAGCAGCATTTCATCTTACGCTTATCCGAAGAAACAAATTATTCATCCCCACTATTATATCTCGTGTTAGGAGATTTATTTGCTATAATTCGATAAGAAAACTATCAAATAAGCTCCACGCGGGCACAGAAATTTGAATTGTTAACTTTCCTGCACAAGCTCCTTGCCCTCAACCTGGCTCCTTTTCGGAAGCAACGGATATTTCTTAGTTGTTATCAATCGCAGTATTATTAACATTTGGAATATGCCAGAAGTTAGATGCGCGAGCGCTGATCAGATGAACTAAGTGAGACTAGCGGTTTAAAGTAGCACTCATTCTTTACCATTTAAAACGCGTTCTTCAAAAACGTTCCCAAATGCTCCTATGTAACACTACTTTGAACTCTATTGGCGGCATCTATGAAATCGACGGCAACTAGCGGCTAAAAAAAAAATTGCCCCGGCAGGGCCCTCACCGCCGTTCTCGAGCGAATACGATCTTCAGAGCGCCTGACGGTCAAAAGACCAAGCCGTGAAAGTAGGTTCCACAACATGCCATGGAACCCGTAATCCCCGAATAATAAAAGCAATGGATTTCGCCTTCGATTAAGAGACGGCTTCACGAACCAAAGCAGCATATCTTCTACTCGAATGTCTTCAATATTAGGCCCACTTTGTGCTTCATACAAACAAACCACTACAATCTGTGTTGCCTAGAAATGCAGGTTCTGCCAAGAACGTTCACGCTGGTGTGGGAACGAAATCCGTCCAGACGCTCGTCCCCAAACTTGCTTTGTTGCGAGTTATGCGTGGCACCTGCATTAATTTGCACGACTTCGAGGGACTCGCTACGTCGAGATCGCCAAACGCTACAGATCCGGCGTTGCGCAACACCGGGACAGCAGACGAGCGCGTGCTAATCTTGCGCGAGTGTTTTTGAATCACAGTCAACAGCTGTTTTCGCACCGTAAAAGACCCTAGGTAGCGCTCCAGGTTACTTCTGCTATACACTCTAAGAAATTTCTGCGCGTCTACTTACCCGCAAAACACCCAAAGATCCAATCTCTGCGACCTACGAAATCAGTTCAGCGAATGATGAGGCGGAACATCTGTTTAGACCTCAAACTGAAGTCTGCGCTGTGGCATTACGCGATGCGAACATGACGCTTTGTGTTGCATAATGCCACAGCGCAGACTTCATTTTTAGGTCTAAACGGATGTTCCGCCTCATCATTCGCTGAGCTGATTTCGTGGGTCGCAGAGATTAGCTCTTTAAGTGTTCTGCGGGCAAGAAGACGCGCAGGCATTTCTTAGAGTGTACCAAATGTTTCGGGGGCAGAGTACCATTCCGTAAGAGATCTCACCTGTTGAGCTGGAAAGTTGGCAGCCAGCGTTGTAGAGCAGGTCGTTCGGGGAGCTCCTAGACGTCGGACCGCGACGTTCCTTCAGGTCGACCTCGAGGTCTTCACCAGCCGTCGAGGTCCTCGGCGAGGTTAAAGCGCAAGGCCTTGTCTCAGGATTTGGTCCCGCAGGAGCCAGGGCTTGGCGGCTCGGGAGCAGCTCACGAGCAGCGAGGCGCGGCACAGCGGGGCTTGGACCATCCCTCGCTTCACGGGGTCGGCCAGAGCTGGGCGTCTCCGGAGTGGGTCCCCTAAAGTGTCCGCGACTTCGGGAAGGCTTCTACCAGGCGGCGTCTGCTCACTTTCTTCCGACGCCTTGACGTTCGTCCACCCAGCGCAGTCCAGCTCGAGCGTTGGCTCTTCCCTTTCCAGCGAGACTCCGGGGGACAAAGAGCGCACGTCAGATCGCTGCTTCCTCTGCACTGACGCTATCGAGGCGCCCTTATCCGCCTGATTGCCGGAAGCTACGCACGGGCCCGATAACGGCCGGAAGCGCCGAGCCTCGTGTGCAGTCGTCCTTTTGTTGTTGTGCACGCGGGCTCAGCATGGCGGGAAGAGACATTCGCTACACGGCTCACATCTGGCGCAGCTGTCAACAGTAGATCGATGGGTAGCGGCGCTGCCGGCAGCAACACAATTCGTTAAACGCCGGCCGCATAGAAAGGTGCCCACGAAATCGCTTTGTGACTATAGGGATCCGGTTGAATCAAGCTCTTATCTTTGTGCAATCAAATTCACGTCAATTCCCGTTATCGGCGATGGTCGTCGACTAAAGAAACGTCCATTCTCATGCACTGAAGGACGCGTGGTTTGGCACTTTCCATTGTTCTTCGGTTACCAATCAGGAGGTTTGCAAGAGCGTGACCTCTCAGTCGCTCACTTCCCGTGTGCCGCATCAAAAGCCGTTTAAGTTCCGTGCAACAATATTGAAACAGAATGTTTCTCACTTTACGCGAGCTTATTGGCATTAATGGGAACCAACTAAACTCGCACGCAACGCCGCGGTCCAAGAGGTTTCTTTGTCTCCGCTTCTCTGAAGGATAAAAACGGACGTTTTCTTTCAGTCTCTCTTTCAGAAAACTTAGTGATGAAGTTGCGGAAAAGCGGAGCGCAAGTTCGTCTGCTTCTTTTGGAGAAATTGTGGTGACGTCAGAACGCCGAGCTCTGATTGGCTTTGATTGGAGGATAGTGAGCAGACGTCGAGGCAGCCTGCTTTAAGGTCTCCTCCAGGGTGTAAGATAGACAGGTGGTGAAACGAGAGTCAAATGAGCGACCGGATTGTGTCCCCCTCGGTTTTCTCTTTTTCTGTGGCGCCATCTATGTGGAGCACCGCGAACTTTCACTCCGGGTGGGCGAACGCTGGCGACCGGTTAAACTGACGGAGAAGGTTTCTCGTAGATTTTCAATGGAGGACTGTCGTGCTCTCACTTTATTTTGCGCACTCTCCCATAGAGTTACATGCAAATTCGATTTTCATTTTTTTTCTTTTCGCCGCAGCGCCATCTGTCGCAAATCGGGAGTACCCGCAAGCCACACGCAAGCAGACGAGTACACAATCGGGTCACGGCGCTGCGGTAGGTTTCTATGGGCCGTTTCCCCACCTGTCTATCTTACACCCTGGTCTACGCTCTACCCACTATCCTTCTATCAAAGCCAATTAGAGCTCGGCGTTCTGACGTCACCACAACCCCTGCAAACGAAGCAGACGAACTTGCGCTCCGTATTGCATTGTTGGCGTCCCCAGGATTTCGTTATCAATCTTGGCCAAGCCCGCGGTGACGGTATTTAAGTCCGCTCAAACAGTGGACACAGGCACTGCATTAGCATCTGATTTGGACTCGTTACAATCATTAGAGAGTTTTAGAATAGGAGGCCCCAACGTTCAATATCATGTCCTGTCTATTTTTTTTTTTTCAATTAGTATGTATCTTGTTTTGTGTATACTTTGATATGTGCGAACATTTGTTTTGCTTACCTGCCGCATTGTAAAGCTTATTTTCACTGTTGGACCCGCGATTAGCCTCCACGGCTATGGGTCCAAGCAACGATTGTGTATTTAAAATATATAAAAAAAAGAAATAAGAAAGAACGTTAGGGGTCCTCTACGAACTAGGGGCTCGCTACTAAGAATGCGCCAAACCCAAACCACATTTTTTGCTAGCGATCGCTCCTGACGCAGAATTCGCGAGGCCCCTAAGGCAAACAACCATGCTGGTGCCCTGGAGCGCCCGCTTCAGAGAAAGACGTAATGGTCGCTGCTCTCTTAGGCACGTTCATCGGCAATGAATTCATTCATTAATTTATTGTACCCGGCCCTGTCTCAAGGAGAGGATATACACACAAAAAATACAAGAAAAATAATGACATCAGAAGTTGCAGCTAACAGTGCTGCATTAAAAGGATACAGTTACAGAAGAATACGATGTGAATAAAATACAAGTATTTTAGCTATTAGTATAAATGAGGAATTATAGCATTACGAAACGACCTGGGTTCATCAAAGGTCACTATATCAGATAGCGGGTCGTTCAAGTCCATAATGGTCTGCGGGAAGAAATATCGGTTAATGTAATTAGGGCGACAGGTGATCCGCGACACATGGCATAAGTTGTTTAGACGGGACGATGATTTGCCAAGATGAAGGAGTAGTGAAGACAGAGAATTGGGTGAAAATGGTAAAATTTATTAAATAAATTTAAACGTGTAGCACGTTGGGACTTTGAATATCTATAGCTGGTGTTTAAGAGAGGAAACACTAGTTGTTGAGCAGTATAGTCATTAAGGATAAATATTACAGGACGATGCTGAATTAACTCAAGGTGACTAATGAGATAAGCATGATGTGGGCTCTAAATTGCTGATGCGAATTTCAATTTCGGTCTACCCCGTGTTCCTTATGCCAGTTTTCGTAGGTAAGAAGGCGCTACTTTTAGATTTCGTCTGATGCACCCAGCAGTGCGAGAAGCTTCTCCCGTAACAGTTTCAATGTGATTATTGCAGCTTAGATCACTTGTCTGTGTTACGCCAAGATATTTAAAAGAAGGGAGAGAGTCAATTATTTCACAGGCACTAGAATGCGAAAACCATATTCGTTATTTTTTTACGGGTGAAGTGTTTCGTCCTCTCTACGTTTTATTATTTCTGTTATCTGGTATACTTTACCAACACACTTGTTAGGAATATACGAACAAGTTTGCATTTTGACATATTTAATGACATGAGCCATTTGGAGCTCCAGGAATATATTATACTGCGACGGGTGTAAGAAGAGGAAGAAGACGACTGTCACGTCAGGGACCAGCAGGGAAAAGCTTGGGGCAAGAGACACGCTTAAAGAAAAGCGTTACAACTGGTGTCAGAAGTGGGATTTTCAGTCCAGACTTCTTCTGCCTCACGCATGGACCTTCCTCGACAGCCTGGGGATGAGTTCCCGCGAACCGGGGAAGCCATCGTGCCCCGGCCGGTTCCCGACTCCGTCGACGCTAACATTCGAACTGACACTTCATCGGCCATTGAAGCCCTGCTGGGCGCCCACCACCAATGAACCGTCCAGAAGCTCAGGCACAAAGGCGCGGCCTTTCTGGAGCTTCTATCGAATTGATGCGAACGAATATCGGTCGCACTTCTTGATGGCCTGCGAGCGCTGGTTCAGCCAGCCCTTTCACAGGCAAGTCCAAATGATCTTCCGCCAACATCAGCGACGACAAATGCCGCGCCGACTACACCTCTGTCTGCCTTAAGCCTTAAGCTGCAGCCATAGCAATTTGACGGCACAGGCACATGGTTTGCCTACGTAACCCAGTTCGAGATTCTTGCTAAAGCCAATCGCTGGCCTGAGGAGCAGCAGGGACAAGTACTTGCAGTCAACTTTAGCGGTCCAGTATTGGAAGCGCTCCACCACATGCCGCCAGACATGGCCAGCTTCCTCGGACACGTTTCAGTTCCCGATTCTCACGACAGGTGGCGTATCAACCTTGAGCAAGATAAACGGAGAATTCGAAGCGCGCAACCGCTGTCTAAACCCCCTCTCCTCTGAATCTCTCCAGCCTCCCACCCTTTCACCGTTTGCGTCTGGCTATCGCTTTGTGAGATCGAATGCTGCATCACCTGTCACCGGCATTCAAGCATTAAAAAACATTTTCGAGTTGCGACCAGGGGTCCTATGTTACACGTTTTGGACTCCCACGGCGACTATGGAGAAGGAAGTTACGTCAACAACGCAACAAATGCAGATTGGATGTTGATTGATGAGAGATCAGTCAACATTCAACATGCATTTGCTGCGTTGTTGACGTCACTTCCTTCTCCCTAGTCGCAGTGGGAGTCCAAAATGGGCAACATAGGGCCCCAGTTCTCAAGCTTTCTGATTATGCACCAAAGAAAAATGCGTGAACCTCGTTTCTGATTTGCTACGAAGCTGAATATAAAGCATAAAAAAGAGTGAACTTTATGTTGTAAAACCCGAACCGTGTCTGCTAAGTGAGGAAGGATTTTATTGTAATCAAAAAGATTTGTTCATAGAAAAGCTGATACGCCTATGTTTCTGTCTGAATTTCTGAGCGTTTGCTCGCAGACCCGCGGCAGGGGGAAGCTCGCGGGAGGGCATGAACAGGGAGTCGTCCGCCACCCCCACGCGCAAGGAGCAACGAGCAGCGAGCAGCCGCGAAACGCGATGGACACGAGTCGAACCCCGCACGCAGACAGGGGGGGAAGAGGGGGGGGGCAGGTCATAGGGCCCCCCCCCCCCCCGAAATCTTCTATTTTGCTGGGACCTCCTCTCACCCCTCCCCCTCATACAGCATTTTGTCATTGGCGCTCCCCCCCCCCCCTGAAACAAAATCTTGGCTACGTGCCTGGATCGGAGGAAAGTTGGCATCACTCTTTAGCCAATATATATCTACTGAAGCTGAACAAGGGGTGTTTCCAGTGAACTCTTCTTTGGGCTGCGGAGGGATTTGAAACGGGCGCATCACGCTTGTGGGAGGAGCTTCTTCTACCTTCTTGGACTTGTTTAAAAATCAACCAAATTTCATGAACTGACTGGTTGTGAAATGTTGCTTCAAAAACTGGAAAGAAGGTGTTCAGATCGTTATTTATAGTTCCATAATTTCATTTATTGTACAGGCGAATTGTTTTCTTTTCGCTGTGACGTTTTGCAGGGGTAAGCTCGAAGACAGCATAAAGAACTTTGTAGTCACTAATCTCTCGAAGGTAGTTTATGGATGATAGACTGTCAGGATGATTGATTAATATAAGATCTAATATATTTGCAGATTCGCGAGCGACGCGCGTTGGTTCCGTAACCATCTATTTGAGATTAAAGTTGAGACAAACCTCAATGAATTCTCTGACTTCGGAGTTGCTTACAGTTAAGAGCAATGGGTCAGCCCAACTATTGTATGGGAAATTAAAGCCACCAAAAACAACAATTTGTGCGTTTGGGTACCCTGCAGAAAGTTGCCATAGTAGATCGTTTACTTTATGGGAAAAGTCGGTACTGTAATTTGGTGGTCTGTAGCAGATGCCCAGTACAACTGTTTGCGGAGAGGCCCGACAGATGGGCTACAATGCTTCAATATCAGATGGAATGGTAATTAGAGAACAGGACAACTGCTGGCTAACGGCGATGAGTACACCTCCACCTCGTGCGCCTTTATGGTCATATCGAAAGAGGTGAACAGTTGGCAAGTCAGTCAGG